ACATATGCCTTTAGGAGACACTTACCTGGGCAGGTGTGCCCTCTAAGCCCGTGTGAGCATCTCCACCGCTTGCTTGCCCTGATATCCACTGAATATCCTGATAATTCAGCATCACAAAAGACATTTTGCCATCGGACGTTAAAACAGCCTGAAATGTGTTCACCTGTAGAGAATTGATTACATTATAATTATATCAATTATTAATTGGTGCTTTCAAGTCAGTCTTGACCTCTGGTCATTGCCTCTGCAGTTTTCTTGAAAGCATTTTTTTGGAAATGGTTGCCTTCTTCTTAGGGCTGAGAGGTGACCAGCCCAAGGTAACCCAGCTGGCTTTGTGCCTAAGGCAGAACTAGCACCCACAATTTCTAGCTGGGAGCCTTTAACCACCACACCAGAGGTCCCCAACCTTTTGGGCACCAGAGACCGGTTCTGTGGAGAAAGGTTTTTTCGTGGACCGGAGAGTGCGTGGTTTAGTGTGCTGCCTGCATCTCGCAGATGGGGCTTTGTTTGTTTGTGCAGACCGGTTGCTGGCGTGCCACGGCCTGGTACTGGTCCACAGACCGGGGGTTGGGGACCCCCACACTACACCATATTGGCTCTTTCACATTAGAAATATATGCAATTAATTCTACTGCCTTTTATTGAAATAGATGTTCTTATGGTGTCCATCAAAACTTTTTTGAGTGAAAAGTTCCCTCGTCCAAGTTCAGTTGAACCAGCCTACCTTGGTGGACAATGATCCATAGAAAGCAACTTGGTCCCAGGTAGCCACAAAGGCCCAGGTTGCTGTGAACTTTTCATGTGGAAAGTAAGCATTTATATCAGCCGTGACTCTCCGCAGCAGCCCCTGGTCTTGGCTCTGCCTGTAGTATACCTCCCCTGCGATCCGATTATCAACATCGGCCCAGAAAGGAGCCACAAAGGCTCGGCCATCCATCAGAGGAAAAGGATCCGGGGTGAACTGACTGACAGGGTTGCCAAAGGACACCACCCCGTTGTTGTTCACCTGGAGGGATGAAAGTAGAGGCCCGTGGTACGGACAAGCCATAGATAAAAGTAGCTTTGTAGGAGACATTTGGAGGATACTTACGTAAAGGGAATGATATTTCCTCCCATAAAAGTAGAAATATTCTGAGATGGAGATCTCAGGAGATGCTCCATCATCTGCCTTGGGGGTGCTTCTGTCCTGATACTGGGGACCATAAGGATAGAGCAGGGTGTCTGGAAAGGTCCCCCCAAAACAAAAGAGATTAAGGTAGGTAGAAGACCTAATAGGCAACATTTACAATATCAGTAAATGTTGGTTCTCAGATTGATTTGAGCAGCCATAATATAAAAGACCAACCATGGAATTCTTAGTAGTTCCAGGAAAAGAAGCCACTTCCCCTCCATTGGGGGCCACCCAGAGTTAGGTATAAGATGGGTGGCTATATCATTGCTTTTTTAAAAAGTAAATTCACTGTAAAGCTGGGCAAAAGAAAGTCAAAATGATTCTGCTTTTATATACGCTGAAATACATAGGTTCTTAGTTCAAAATGAGTATGCTTGCTGGAAATCTTATATACTCCTTTTATGTTAACAAATATTGTTAAAGCGAACTCTATAAGAATCTGGATTGGGAAGAAATCACATTCAGTTCAGGCAGCAGCCAAAGATCCTGATATAGTCCCAATATCATGCCTATTGTTCTTTCGGGACTTATTTGGGACAAGATTTGGGCTATTGGGGATACCATCCTTACTCAGCCAGGGCTTTCTCCAGATGTGCCCTCATCTGAGACTTTTGGGATCAATCCACATATCTGAGGAAAATGTCTTCAGGTTTTTTTGCATTTTGGCACCCTCAATCAAACTGACACTCATGGCTTTTTCCTTGGTGAATTCAGATGAATTGTTTGGTGCAGTTGATCCAAAACTGATTGTGTCTCATATTGGCTGAATATTCTACAGGTTTTACCACATCATTTGAAGATCACTTACCTATGTCAGGCACACTTCCCAAAGACAACACTTGTGATGCTTAAAAGAAAAAAAAAAGGCAAGTGAACAGAAGGAGTAGGGAAAAAAGATGTTGAGACTCTAGAAAGAGTACAGAGAAGAGCAACAAAGATGAATAGGGGACTGTAGGCTAAAACTTATGAAGAACAGTTGCTGGAATTGGGCATATCTAGTCTAATGAAGAGAAGGATGAGGGGGGACATGATAGCAGTGTTCCAATATCTCAAGGGTTGCCACAAAGAAGAAGGAGTCAAGCTATTCTCCAAAGCACCTGATGGCAGGACAAGAAGCAACAGATGGAAACTAACCAAAGAGAGAAGCCACCTAGAACTAAGGAGAAATTTCCTGACTTTAGAACAATTCATCAGTGGAACAACCTGCCTCCAGAAGCTGTGAATGCTCCAACAATGAAAGTTTTTAAGAAGAGACTGGCAGCCATTTGTCTGAAATTGTATAGGGTTTCCTGCAGGGGGTTGGACTAGATGACCCCCAAGGTCCCTTCCAATTATTATTATTATTATTATTATTATTATTATTATTATTATGGATCATCGCACAGTCAGCCAGATATTCAGACTGGATTTGGCATTTTGTCTACCTATCGAGTCCTTACCCAGGACCTGGGATAGGCAGATGTGGATGTTTGAATTGATGGTATTACAGATGTCCTTGCAGGATGGAAGCAGTTCCTAGTAAGGCCGCCTTTTGCTATTGACTAATAGCGAATTTGTCAATGCCAATGGTGTTCAAGTGGTGCTCTAGTTGTTTTATTATTATTATTATTATTATTATTATTATTATTATTATTATTATTATTATTATTATTATTATTATTATTAAGCTCAGCTGCACGGAAAGATAACTAGGAAATCTGATATAGAAGATACCAGATGAAATTCCCACATTCCCCCTGACATCATTCTGGAATACAGCAGGAAATTTAAAGCACAATTCTCTCATTGGATACTATATGTTGCTGCTTAGCCATCAAGGAAAACTTGTTGAAGTATGGGGAACTCTATCAGTCAGCAATTCCTCCTCTCTGAGGTGGGGAACTCAGTCCTGCCTTCTTATAAATTGCTGCTAGTCAGGTCTAATCCTAAAATGTCTTATCCAGAATTAAATAGAAATAAATTAAATTAGTTGCAAATTTGGAGCATGGAGAAGGGCACACAAACAGCCTAGGTGTTGTGTAGATACCTCCACTAAAACCATGAAATGGGTTGCATTTTTTTTTTCAGGGGTGGGGAAGAGAAATAATAGTGACAATAAAGTAAATCATACTGTGTAATTTATTACAAATAAATTGCATTTCAAAAGAACTATTGCACAAACTCACCCAGGGCTAGAAACTTCATCAGCCAGGGAAGGTATGATCTCATATCCCCAACTGTTCTTTCCATTCATATATCAGAAATTATGCAGGAAACCTAAGAATGAATAAATTTATTTCTGGCTTAATGTTGTTCTTAATACATTTTTTGGCAGCAATATTACCCATATTTATTGTACACTGTGGGGTTTATATCTGAGCACCTAAACATAGAATGGGGACGCATATAATTACCTATAGCTAAGGGTCTACTTAATCAAAGCAAATATTTCTCCAACATCTATCATTTTAAATGTATTTCTGCTCAGCCCTTCAGGATCTTGCAAAGGAAAAAAAAAGAACTCACATAAACACAGTATTCAGAAATATTCTTTGCCTTTAAAAATGCTATTATTTACCCTCTTGATTATGAGTTATAATTTATTTTCTCCTTCTGATAACCCTTATTTTCATCAGAGTTTTTACAGCCTCTTCCCAACTTTTGTTTCACATTTAAAGCATGAAGTGACTGTGACTGTGTTAAAAACTCTCATTAACAGGGAGAGTTGATTCCTCTTTTCCATCAACACTTTCATTTTAACATCCTGCAGATTTACTGCAATTGGGAAATGCCATTTTCAATCAGCGGCATTTTATCCACTGATTTTATCCATCCAAGAATTGCCTTAAAAGGAGGGCTGGGGGGAAAAAATGAGAGGGACTGATCCAGCAAAGCTTACCTGATGAATTCGGTGACAAAATGAGAATTCCAACCTGGATCTTTCTTCTTTTAGCTTGCATGCTAAACCATGATTGAAAGATCAGTGAAATACTGTAGGGGAACATGAATAGAAATATTTGCAGAAAGGAAAGCAAAATGGGAGAAACTTTCCATCCATTTCATTCTGGGCCCACCATAAAATTCTTACCCATCAGCTCTCTTCAGCGCAGTGCTGGAACGGGCTCAGATCCCTGTTCTTTATTACACTCTGTTTTCTCTACCTCAGGAGGGGTTATATACAATCTCCCAGAAAGTGCAATTGAAAACTAATTCTGAATGCACACGTAGGAAAGAATAGGTTCATTTGTCAACCCAGCATCGGTAGAAACATTTTGACAAGGATATAACGATTCTTCGCGCTTTTCCCATTGTAGCTAAGCCCAACATCACAAACTGCAAATGGAAATAATGGATTTCACTAGCATCAGCAACGGCGAAAGATGGGCAGAAAATACACGGTATTTATGATGGTTGCACTATCCTGGCGTCATGTGACTTTCCATGTGTGATCTTCCCAGCCAGTTTAGGACAAGGAAAGTCATTGGGGGAAGACAGATCACTTAATGACGCATGATTCACTTAACAAATACAGTGACTTACTTAATAACAGTGATCAAAAAGGTTGTAAAATCCGGTGCAACTAATAACAGCAGCCTTGCTTAGCAATGGAAATTCTGATCTGGTCATAAACTGAGGACTATCTCTAGGAGACTTTCTATTCTCTTTCTATTCTGAAGATTAGGTCAGATTAGGAGACTTGCAAAATCTCTTCCATGAAACTAACTGGAATCTAAACCTGTTCTCCAACGTGAAGGAACCAATGATAGAATAGTCTTGTGAAGAGTATAGTGGGAGGGGGGGTTTAAAGGTTGTTGTAGTACTACATGTAGCAAGAGGACCTATTAATCTATCATAGGTTAGGGTAGGAGTTAACCCTGCTGCAATGTAGCAATATGATAACGTACTGTAATCTGAAAATTGTGGTCTGGGTTAGGCTAGGGACAGTATCCACATGCTAACCTAATTCACCTTAATATATAGAGATGAATTTACAAACTTGCCCAAATGTCACAGCCTCCTTTGAAAAACTATGGCTAGACAGTATACGAGTGGTCCTTGATTTACAGCAGTTCATTTAGTGACCGTTACAACAGAACTGGAAAAAGTGACTTATGACCATTTTTCACACTTACGACTGTTGCAGTATTCCCAGGGTCACATGGTCAAAATTCAGATGTTTGGCAGCTAATTCATATTTATGATGTGTTGAAGGAAAAGTCTTCATCATGGTTCAGTCCAAGCCGGGAACAAACAACATGACAACTGCTTTAGAAAGAAGGTTGCAGTTTATTGAAGAGGAGAGCCAGTCAGAAAGATGGCTCTGGAAGAAAAGAGAGAGCACATATAGGGAGTGGGTTTTTATACCTTCTTGAGCCTTTTGTTTGGAGTTGTTCCTGTGGCATGAACTTTGACCTGAGTCTGAGTGTGCCCTTCTGGTATTCTGATGGTAATGGGTGGCTTCCCACAGACGGTTGCAGTGTCCCGGGGTCACGTGATCACCTTGTGCGACCTTCTGACAAGCAAAGTCAATATGGAAGCCAGATTCACTTAACAACCGTGTTACTAACTTAACAACTGCATTGGTTCACTTAACACTTGTGTCAAATGGAGCAAAATTCACTTAATAACTTTGTCACTCAGCAACAGAGATTTTGAGCTCAATTGGGGTTTATTTTTTTTATTTATTTTATTTATTTTATATTTGAATTTATATCCCGCCCTTCTCCCGTAGGACTCAGGG